GGCCACCCTCGGTGCGGAGGGTCCCGGCGGCGCGTACCTGCCAGTGAGGAAGGGTCCTCGCGAGCTGTCCCCAATGGCCCCTCTAAGGTCTCATGTCTCCCACAGGAGAGCTCTGCTCCGTCTGCCCTTGTCTCTATCCACCACTGCCCTGCACTGGAAGTCATATGCTGCTTTATAAACTATTTACATACAATGGGGCCTTTATCGGCCCCTGAACAACACACTTTAGCATTCAGATCCAACGCCCTGACTTCCGCCCACCCCAGCCAAACAAAGTGCCTGTGTGCTGCATTCATGCTGCCTCTGCTGCCTGGCCCCGCACCCGCTCCCACCTCACCCTCCACTGGCCACAGCCGTGGCCTCTCCGACAGCTGGCCACGGGGCGCTTGTCGCTCTGCCCAGCGAGACCCGCGTCGTGGGCATCACCGGGCCGGATGGCTACCTGGGGTGTCTGGGTCCCTGCCGCAGGATGCACGGCAGAGCCCAGCTGCGTGCCCTTCCTTCCTCTGTGACCAGAGCTGAGGTCTGGCTGCTCCCCAGCGTGGCACTAAGCAGTCTGTGGGGACCCATGGGGCTGGGGGAGCTGGGTACGGGCCGTGTGGGTCCCACCATGCCTTCGAGGCTGTGCTGCCAGTGGGTTGGTGCCAGCAGCAATGACTGCGAGAGCACTGGAGCTGCCCTTTGTGTGCCCTGTCCCGTTGGGGACATGGGGAAGAGTCTCCGTCAGAGTGACGCTGGCTGTGCGCTAACAGTGGCTGTGCTCAGTGCTGAGAGCCGTGCGCTGCAGAAGCTGCGTTCTTCTTCCAAGACGGGGGGCTACGACGCTGCTGCACTTCTCGAATGCATTGGTAGGGCAACAGCCCCTGTGCTCGTAGACCACCCATGCCCACGTCCCTCAGGGCTGGCGTCCCAGCCACACCATCACGCTGTGCCCCATCCCCGCAGGGATGGTGCTATGTCCCTCGGGTTTTGTCCCCATCCTCAGCTGGGGAGCAGTACATCCAGTAAAACCTACCAGCTGAGGGCCCACAGGGTGACGGGGGCAACAACGCCATCCCAAATGCCACCTCCACCCCTTAGCCCAGGGTGCCAATGCCCGGAGCTGCGCAAACAGTGGTGGGCAAAGACCCTTGAGTGAAGCCGTGGGGAGAGAAGCCAGTGCCCAGGCCACACTCTACTCCTCAGCCCGCTCCCCCCATGGGGACCAGCACCCCCAGCTCTGCCCTCCCTGGCCCACAGCTGAGCCCTCCTGCAGCCCCCACCCTAGACACCTTGGTGCCCCCCAGCTGGGGGACATGTGGGCACCCCCGCAGTGGTGCCGTGCTCACCAGATTCTCACCTCAGCACCAGGACAGGCAAAGTTCTCGGGGAGTACAGCGGTGTCAGCCTTCAGCACAGCACCCTGGACTTTATACCGCCCTCCGGCACGTCACCCACCCCCTCCCA